TTTTTTTTTTTTTTTTGCTTTGCCTTTTATGTGATAGGACAGTGGAGATTTGACCGGAAGTGAGTGGGAGAGAGAGAGGGGGATGGGATCAGGAAAGGTCTGTCAGCCGGGATTTGAACTCGAGATGCCCAAAGTGCAACCGTGTCATATATCGGCGTGCAGCCCATGAGGCTCTCGGCGGTGACACCTTTGGCTGAATTTAACAGAGCTTAAGGATGCCAATAAGTCGGCCCTCCTCAACTGCCCTGTTTTTCCATCGGGACTATTGGTTCTGCTTTGGATGGCTTTGCTGAATGTTTCACAGCAAGAAATCATCACAAGTGGTGCACCATTTCCTTCCTTAATGGCTACTTTTCCGGTCTCAAGTCAGCCCAAGCTGTCATTTACTCAGCAGCACTCCAGGCCAGCATCGACACATGCTCAGTCCCAGCCTAACGCTTCATGGTGGCTCAGAAGTCATCACAAGTGATGTGTCATTCCGAACCAAGTGAGCCAATTCTTTTGATGTTTCCAGTCACCCCAAAGTATCTTGACTCAGCAGCACTCTAAACCATTGTCAGTGCCTGCGCCAAGGTAGAGGCAGAACCTGAAGTGAAAAAAGGCTTCTCTACAGCTAAGTGCTATCCCTTCCAGAGGCCCTACCCTAAGCTAGAGCTGGACCCTGAGTAGCCCCAGCAGCTTTGATGCTCCAAAACCAAGGAGGTTAATTTCCGTCGAGGCTGGACCACCCTCAAATTCCTTCGCTTTGGGCCTGGTTTTCACTTTGGTCTCGGACAACGATGCCAATGTCCTCCGAGCCAAAGTCCAAAACTTGCTAGCAAAAGGTGCTGTTGAGAGAGCCCGGGCCGCAGCAAGCTTTTACAGCCACTACTTCTTTATTCCAAGAAGGATGGCAGCCTCAGGCCCATGCTCGATTTGAAACATCTGAACTGCACCCTGATAAAGCAGCCATTTGGAATGCTACACTTGAAGCAAATCTTCTGGCAAATCCACCCAGGGGATTGGATTTAATGGGGAATCTGAAAGATGCATAATTTCATATTCAAATAGACCCCATCACAGACCATTCTTGAGATTCACCTTTGAAAGGGTGGCTTACGAATATACAGTCTTATAGTCTGTTACATCCTGGACTTTGTCCATGGTACTTAAGGCTCTATGAGGCCCTTTTTTTGAGCTGCTCAAAACGACCAACCTTCGGTCTCTCTTGATAAAGACTGCCCTCCTGCTGGCTTTGGCTTCAGTCAAGTGAGTGAGCAACTTGCAGGCTCCTTCAGTGGACATGGCCTGCCTTGAGTTTGGACCTAATAACAATAAATTTGTTCTTTTGCTGAGAATAGGCTATGTGGCTAAGGTGCTTTCAGCCCCTTTCAGGGCACAAGTTATTATTCTCTCTGCTCTTCCTCCCTTCTTTAGTAACTAATGCAATGCTCATTCCCGTTATCTCAGGGAACCAGGGAACATTAGTTACCAGTATAGTTTTCTTTTACTTGTTGTTTTCAACAATTTAATGGTGGTTTGTGAAATGTTCATACTGATTGCAAACACCAGGAGGTCAGAATAAATATTATCTGAATGGTTTCATTTTTATATTTATTTATATCTAGTTCACGATTTTTTAAACCATATTTTTAAAATGTTACAACTCTGACTTGTAAAATGAAGTTAATCAAACAATTAGTAATAGTTCTCACTACAAAGCCTGTGCCTGTCACAAAGTTATGAACTTCTTTGTTGTGTTACTTTCAGTTCCTGTTCTCCTGCACAATTTAGTTCTGATCAGCTCCTCATTAGTTTCCTTGGTTACTTATTATTCTCAGGTGTTTCTGTTTCATTAACCCCATTATTTATACTCAGTGCTTTGTTCAGTTCCTTTGCTGGTTATTTGTTATTCTTATGTTTGTGTTTGTGCTACACCTGCCTTGTTTGCTCTTGGATTTATAATTAAAAGACTTTTGTCGATTTCTCTCCTTCGTTGTGCGCTCTTTACAGCACCAGCATGTTACAGTGCCTGCAATGTTTAAAAAATAATAATTGCATAATAAATGTACCCAAATGAATGCATCAACATATTTATACTTTCTGCTAATTTCTCGGGTTTCACATGTCTTTTTCCTGTCATAATTTTTTCTTTCAATGTTTAATGAGAACGTTTTTTTAATGACATTTTTTATTGAGCTTTTTTACTTTAATTTTAGACCTGATAGAAGAGAACAAGGAGATTGAAGAACTGATTGAAGAGGGGGAGAACCATCATGTCAAAACTGAAGAGATATCCTGGAGTTCCTCATTTAAAAGAGGAGACAAAATATGGCCTCAGTGTGGAAAGAGTCTCTCATGCAAGCAAAATGTTGATATTCACATAAAATGTCATCTTGAAGGGAAGCTGTACACATGTAATCAGTGTGAAAAGACTTTCACAATAAAAGGAAACCTTACGAAACACATGAATATCCACACTGGGGAGAAGCCGTACACATGTAGTCAATGTGGGAAGAGCTTCAGACTAAAAGTAATCCTTAAAAAGCACATGAATTTTCACGCTGGGGAGAAGCCGTACACATGTGGTCAATGTGGGAAGAGCTTCAGACTAAAAGCTACCCTTAATGAACACACAAGGATCCACACTGGAGAAAAGCCATACACATGTGATCAGTGTGGGAAGAGTTTCACACAAAAAGGAGCCCTTAATGTACACATGAGGATCCACACTGGAGAGAAGCCATACACATGTAATCAGTGTGGGAAGAGTTTCAGACTTAAGCAACCCCTTAACGATCACATGAGGATCCACACTGGAGAGAAGCCGTACTCATGTAATCAGTGTGGAAAATGTTTCAGAAAATATAGTGGTTTTAAAAAACATCTGCTTGTTCATTCTAGAGGAAGACTAGATAAAAAAACATTTTTTAGGGCAGATTTCCAGAAGAACCACCTGAAAGTTCATACAAAGGAGAGGCCTTATGTATGCTATTTATGTGGAAAGAGTTTTAGTCAGATGGTTGCACTAAAGATACACCAGAAAAGACACAGCGGTGTGAAGGATCATGTTTGCTCTGAGTGTGGAAAGACTTTCGTTACATATGGTGCACTGAAAGTGCACAAAACAGTTCACACTACAGAAGCAGCTTACAAGTGTTCACACTGTGACAAGAGATTCAAACGGTCAGAATATCTGAGAATACATGAGAGGATCCACACTGGAGAGAAGCCGTACACATGTGATCAATGTGGGAAGAGCTTCAGACTAAAAAAAATGCTTAATCAACACATGAATATCCACAGTGGAGAGAAGCCTCACACATGCGATCACTGTGGGAAGAATTTCACACAAAAAGGAAACCTTAACAAACACATGAAAATCCACACTGGAGAGAAGCAACACACATGTGATCAGTGTGGGAAAACTTTTGTGCATAAAGGAAACCTTAAAGACCACATGAATATCCACACTGGAGAAAAGCCATACTCATGTGATCAGTGTGGCAGGAGTTTCGCACATAAAGGAAACCTTATTAAACACCTGAAAAGACACACTGGGGAGAAGCCACACACATGTGATCAATGTGGGAAGAGTTTCGCAGAAAAGGCAACCCTTAATGAACACATGAGGATCCACACTGGGGAGAAACCATACACATGTGATCAGTGTGGGAAGAGTTTCAAGCGAAAAGAAGGCCTTAATGATCACATGAAAATCCACAGTGGAGAGAACCCGTACACATGTGATCAGTGTGGGAAGAGTTTCAAGCGAAAAGAAGGCCTTAATGATCACATGAAAATCCACAGTGGAGAGAACCCGTACACATGTGATCAGTGTGGGAAGAGTTTCAAGCGAAAAGAAGGCCTTAATGATCACATGAAAATCCACAGTGGAGAGAAGCCGTACACATGTGATCAGTGTGGGAAGAATTTCACACAAAGAGGATCCCTTTATCAACACAAGAAAACCCACACTAGAGTGAAGCCATACACGTGTGCACAATGTGGGAAGTTTTTCAAAAATTCAAGTTTTTTTAAAGTACACCTGCGTACTCATTCTAGAGAAAGACAATATAACTCTGACCAGTGCAGTAAAAATAATTTCAGGGCAGATTTCCTGAAGGGCCACGTAAAAGTTCATACAAAAGAGAGGCCTTACGTATGTAATTTATGTGGAAAGAGTTTTAGTCAGATGGTTGCATTAAAAATACACCAGAAGAGACACAGCGATGTGAAGGATCATATTTGCTCTGAGTGTGGGAAGGCTTTTTTTACTGATAGTGAAGTGAAACAGCACCAATCTGTTCACACTACAGAAACACCTTACGAGTGTTCACACTGTGACAAGAGCTTCAAACGGTCAACACATCTTCAAATACATGAGAGGATCCACACTGGAGAGAAGCCGTATCACTGCCATTCATGTGGGAAGAGATTCACTCAATTATATTCTTTAATCTGTCATAAATTACATGTCTGCATGTCTGAAATTACAGTAAGTAGTTCAAGTTCTGGTCCTGTACTTCCAGGTATGATAGATGGTAGGTAGGGCTGCATTAAGTAATTATTTTGATACATGATTAATCAGAGATTATTAGAATGATTAATCAACTAATTTTTGATTATTTCACAGATTAATCAGTAGCTTTTATTATTTTTTTGACTTTTTATTTAAAATGTTGAGTTATGCCCATTCTAACTGATAAATAAAATAAGGGAGTCACAAGTTTTTGAAAATGTCTTTTTAATAAACTGAGTAAACTGGATTACTATCCTCTTCAGATATTTTATCCTCCTCAGAAGTCATCAATACACCAACTTTGCTTATAACTGAAACAAAAACAAAAAGGCATTACACAACACATAGGAGGCTAAAATATTCATCATTCATTAATTTAGAACCCTTTGTGAGTGGTTTGGCCAGTAATCTTGAGAACACTGAGGCTTGCGGGCTTGAGAGCGTAGGCTGGCAGCTCATGCTGACATCAGCAGAGGATCCTCCACATTGGATACTAGTCTTGTCCAATACAAGATGGTTCCAGGGGTGGCTATGACAGCTGAAATCCATGCTGGGCCGAGCTCTGTGGGGGAAGTTTAGGGGATGGTTCCTCCCTACCTGTCCTACTGTGAAAGGATATCCACGCAGCTGTTGTGCCAAGTCCATATATTGAGCCATAATCCACCTGGGATCACCCCTAGCATCAGTTGGCTGATATAGTTGTCCAGTCTGCCCCAAAAACGGTCCATTAAAATTACTTTCGTCAATGGTGAGAGGTGAGAATACGAATTACAAAAAAAAAAAAAACTCTTGGGGAGGTCATCTTGAAAAATTGAACAAAGAGTGCTCAGACAGAGCCGATTACCCCTGACTAGATCAATTGTGGGCCAGTTGTTCTGTAAGAAGGACTGGAGAAATCAGGCTGAGGCGAGGATCTAAATGCAGGGGAACTTTAATAAACTGACAGGAAAATGCCAATGACCTGTTGCACGAAGCGAGATGAACAAAGTTTCAGAGTAGGTTTAGAGTTGACAAAACCAAACAAATCCAACCTGGTTTAGATCAGGATCAGCAGGCTCACAAAGCTTGATCTAAATGTTCTCTGTCAACTCAAGAGTTTGAACCAGAGTTTGTGATTAACTCTGGTGCACTTGCACCACTTGAACGTGGAGAGCATCAGCAAAGCGTCAAACAAAAAAGCATCAGCAAACAAAAAAGTTTGAGAAGGTAGCAGAAAGAAAATCTATGACTATGCAAAGGAATCAACTGAATTTAATAATTTATATACTTTCACACAGAGCTCAAATTATAGGAAAACATAGGTTTAGTCATTTTAAAAGTTGGATATATTAAAGCTTATCTATATCTATATGTATCTGTATTTAATTTAGTTTAAATGCAAAGCTTAAAATTAATTGCCACTTCATATAATAATTATATGAATATATTATATGAATTATAAACAGTTACAATTAATATAATATAAATAAGTAGCCACAAAAATAAGGCCATTTTGTCTCTAAAATTCTAACTGTATTAATTTGGAGCTAGAGATACGGGTGAGTGGCTTCATTGCATCAGATATGTCACTTTGGTCACGGCTGATTGGTCCAGTTTGGATTTGCTATCTCTAACCCAGAATAAAACCTGCTCCGGGGCAGGGTAGCTGTGTAGCGTAAGTTGCCATGGTGACGAAACCTGCTCAAAACCAGCCCATCTTCTTGAGCCCGAAAAGTCAGAGTTTGCCCAAACTAAACGCAAACTTACTTGGGTAAAAACTGAAACCGGCTTTGTGCTACAGGCCACAGAGAATAGCATGTAAGTACTCCAAAAAACTAAACGACGACTTTCAAAGCACAGAAGAAAAGCCTATATATACAGAAGAGGACAAGTTTAACAAGTTAACAAGGGGGAGTGGTTAATTTGAGCAACAGGAGCAGGGAAAACACTTCAAAAATAAACTTTTAATGTATGTATTGGATTTTTTTTATTTTTTTTGTATGGCCTTGATTAAACCGATGTCTGTTAATTCATGAGCATCCATCTTTCCATAAGATGGTAGTGACACACAGGGCCGGATTAAGAACACATTGGTCCCTGGGGCTATAGCAAACCCAAGGGCCCCCTTTATCTTATTGCCACGCCAAAGTGTCTTCTACCACAAGAACTTTTTTTTTTTTGCTATTATTATTATATTTAATTTTCTGCTATTTGATTTTAATTTTATATTTAATTGTTATATTAAATATTCTAATTGTATCTAATTTTCTATTATTTTAATTTAATTTGACATTTAATTAATATATTTAATTTCTATTTTGTATAAGTACAAGTTCACATACTAAATTTTCCAACAAACAGGTTGCCAAAAATCAGCAAAAACATTTGCAATCATACTTCCTAAATGAGTAGGCCTACTTTACAAAATACTTTAAATAGGGTCTTACCGTTAAAAAGTCTTCTTTCGAAATTTAGCTGAGCAGAAATCCCTAATGATATCATTAAAATCCATGCTTCTAACCATGTCGCATTCCAGGGACATCCGTGTTAAATGGCTCAGTCTTTCTTGCCCCATTGATCACCGCAAACGAGACTTGATAAAAGATAACTTTGAGAAGGAGCACTCTCCTGATATCATACTTCCTAAATGAGTAGGCCTACTTTACAAAATACTTTAAATAGAGTCTTACCGTTAAAAAGTCTTCTTTCGAAATTTAGCTGAGCAGAAATCCCTAATGATATCAGTAAAATCCATGCTTCTAACCATGTCGCATTCCAGGGACATCCGTGTTAAATGGCTCAGTCTTTCTTGCCCCATTGATCACCGCAAACGAGACTTGATAAAAGATAACTTTGAGAAGGAGCACTCTCCTGACGCATTTGTTACTGGCAAGGTGAGATATATTCTCAAGGATATGTCCACATTTGGAAAAACATTTTGAAGGTCCCTTGCTCTTATTTCTTCCAGCAATTCTCTGGCTGATGCTGTCTTTTCTTTTTTGCAGAATGCTTTAAAATGTACAATCTCGTCTGCAAAATCTTCCTGTAAGTCTGTATTGTACTTCTGTTGTAATTTAACTCGAGAAGAATCAAGTTCTTGATCAGAGAGAATATGAATATTATTAAGGACTGAGAAAAGGTTAGTTATCTCTTTGTATGATTCACTTCTTCTGTCAAGCTCTGCTGTAAGGCGGTCATTTATCACATAAAAAACATCTGCAATAAACTTCTGTCTACCAGACAGCTGAACGTCCTGATGAAATGTATCTGGTTCATCTGCATGTTTTTTACGTGTTCGCTTGTAAATAGTAGGTGACATTTCTTTCACTGCTGTTTCAAAACTGTCAAACTGGTCTCTCAATCCTGCAACGAAGTCCTTTAAAGATGCAACCAAATCCACAGCTTTGGAAAAGATCAAGGTCAATGTCTTGTAGGACTTTACTAGTTGCATCAAATCGTTGAAGTATGCAATTCCAGTATTTGCCAAGAAGAGCGTTTTCCAATTTGTCCATTTGCTTTGCCAGCATTCTTGCTTCGTTAAGCGTGGATAAATTCTGATCGTCGTCCTCAGACAAATCAATCAAAGATCGCTGAATATTTGCAGTTGTAGCACAGTTCTTTTGATGCTGAGGCATGCGCGGACCAGCGAGTGTCTGACAGGGACTTTATCTTCTCAATTTGCTTGTTCTCATTTGCTTCGAGACCACTGGTAATTAATTACCTGCCATCGCGAGGATGATCGGGAGCAGAAAATAAACAGTCTGCACAAATGTAAAGAACTCGTTCATTTCAAAGCAGCAATTCACTGTGTTGATTCCTACTAAATTAAGTGTGTGTGTGCTGCGCAAGGCACCCATTCTGCCAGCGGATTTACCTCCTGCGTGACTGTACACCCTTATAAACCCCTGACATGTTGCTTGCGTTGTCATAACACTGTCCGCGACAATTGTTTATGTCAATTCCCAGCTCATTCAGTACAGTCATCACAGAGTTAAAAAGTGATTCCCCTGTGTGGCTTGTAATGGGAAGAAATTCAAGGAAGCGCTCCTCTATATTTCCCTCGGGAGAAAGGTATCGCTCTATAAAAGTGAGCTGATCAATGTGGGAAATATCTGGCGTGGAATCTACGCTTATAGAAAAGTACTAAGCTAATTTTATTTTATTGACAATCTCTGATAAAATTTTCTCCCATCAATTTGACAATTTCTTCACATATTGTACTAGACAGGTAAGGATGGATTTCCTCTCCCAGCATTTCCAAAGCGAGCTATATGTTCCGGCAGAAATGGATCGAATTGAGCAATGAGTTCAACTATTCCCATATAATTACCGTTATTGGGGGAATTGAATGTCTCAGTATCACTCCTGAACGACAGACCAGGCTCAGCCAATGTTATTGTAGCTACAACCCTTTTCAGCACATCCTCCCAGTACTGACACTCCAATTTGAACTGGTCCCTTAGGCCCGTATCAATCTGCCCCTTTTCAGATGTCCTTGACACCCAAGTTACCATGCACTCTCTGTGTTGTTCGGAGTTCTCATGATCAGGAATGCAACTGTGCGCGTGTTTCCAGTCACTGTGTCCAGACGGTCCAGAAAATGGTGAAATTCCTCCAAACAGTTTGCAAACAAAATACAGATCCTTTGGTTGGAAAGTACAGAAGCCAGTCACGTGGAACAGACTCACCATTCGCTAGTTTTCGACTGAAAAAGCTCTTTGAAAATGTCCGCTTTTGGTGTTTATATTGTTTATCAGAAGCAGAAAAATCACAACTGCGATTCTGACATGGCACTGGTCCATTTCCAATCCAATAATTTTGGCCTTGTGAGTCAATTACAGCAGGCCAGCATCCTGGGTCAGTACTGTAGATGTCATTTTCCCCTGCAGTCTGATCAGATATGTTGTCTGATGTAAAGAGTCGGCGCCAATATTTCATAGTGCCCCGGAATATTACTGTCGTTTTTATCTAAAGGGGCAGAGTAAACATTCAAAAAAATATTTGCTTTCTAACTGGTTATAAGAACAATAACTTACTGCTGCTGCTAACTCACCTTCAGCGTGTAAAGCACATGGATCTGCGATGGTGGGTGATGCTAAATATGTATAGCCGCTGCACTCGGGCACGAA